GGGTGAATACTGAGTCATATATGACATGTTTTATGCCTTATTATATGGCACCTTTGGTATTTGGAACTTTATACATTAAGAAAAATATTAAGAAAACTCAAGTATCTTCAGAAACGTTCTTACTTAAAATTTGCTTCTGCATATTTGCTTTTTATTTTCGTCCTCTTAGGCAACTTTTATATTTTAGCTGATGCCTTGCTACTTTGAGCTATTTGCTACCGTTTTCTCTTTGCCATTGTTTGTAGCTTTTGTTAGGCTTCTGTTAGCTTTTAACGCCAGCTCTGGTCATTTTAGTTACTGAACTGCTGATTTTTAGTTTTTATCTTCTGTTTTGGTATGTTTAGCAAAGATTTCTTTAATTTTAGTTACTGTTTTTGTATTTTCTTGTGCTTTAACTATTGCTTGGAAGCTGTTAGTTTTCATATTGTTCTACTCATTTTTACATTGTATGTTGTTGTGCTCAAACAGAGTCGGTGGACACCAAGATGAACTTCAACAGCCTGTTAATGATGTACCAGGATGGTGCTAGCAGTCCTGATTCCTGTGAGGAGGACGCCAAACTCTCCATGCTGCCCCACCTGGCTGACCTGGTCTCTTACAGCATCCAGAAAGTCATAGGCTTTGCCAAGATGATCCCAGGCTTTAGGTAAGAATTAAAGGAGTTACTCTAAACAAAAGTGGGTAAATTAATTATCAGTAGGTTAACTTTTCTAGGTTATAATAAAAAAACTCCCTGGTGTTTGCCTGGTTGCATTAGGTGATCTAGAGCTGGGCGGTATGACCTCAAATTCGTATCACAGTATAAATTGAATCCCTTCACCGTAACGGTATATATCGCAGTAGAAAATTATCATTAAAAGTAAAGAAAATGTAATTTTTAGAGCATTTATTTTGCAGAAAACTATAATCATAATCAAAGCCAGCATTTTTGCTGAAGTGCAAATGAACATAACATAATTACAAAAGAATGTTGTATACTATATATATTGCAAAATGGTTTCAACAACAAACAAAAACATTTCTCAGATTTTCAACAATATCAAAATAAAGTGGATGTTATAACCAGCACTTCAAGTAAAATTAGTCATTTAGACATAAAAACAATTCTAAGTTGGCATRAGTTGCCTAAAATGTTATARTGTGASMGGACCTGAAGGGGCTTAAGCTGCACATAGTCCTAGTCATAAAACCATAAAACAATTTCAGATAGCTGGAATTTAAGAATGGTGAAGCCAAATAAATGTAATATCTGCCTGCCATACAATGAGCTTCTGGCTTTTGAACTGRCYCGCTGCYCTGCTGCGCTCTCAGAGCAGAAGACGGCCGTTACATTAGCAAGATGGATTTTTGATTGAACAAACATCCTCATCTTTTTTTAAATCATCTCTGTGAGTA